GAGGGAGTCACAGTTTGATGGTCACGAGCTGTACCTTGTCTTTTATTATCCTGCCCCGTGGATTTCCACGAGGTCATTAGCTGTTCTGTGGCAATCAGATAAAAATTTCTGTATGCTTGGAACAGCTTTAATCAGGGATGCCAGTGAAGAATGGCAAAAATAATTTGAATTGTTTTTATTTCATTCAATTAAAGGATTCGTTTTTACTTTCCAGCAGTTTTAAGCTGCTTAAGAGTGAAGTCATACTTCAGGAGTAGAATTGACATGGATATTTTTTTAAAAATGAACGTGAGGAAAAAGTGAAACTGAATAATCCTATTAAATTACTTATTACCTTTGCAATATTTTCTTTGTTTATAGATACAAAACAGAAAATCACTATAAGCCAACGAACAGGGCCCTGGTTCTATACCAGATTCTTTATCTCACACAAACTTGAGTCCTATACTGTAAGAAATATTTTTACCTATGACAATCAAAACTTAGGGACACGGTGGCTCAGTAGCTAAGATGCTGAGCTTGTTGATCAGAAAGGTCGGTAGTTTGGCAGTTCGAATCCCTAGCGTCGCATAGCGGAGTGAGCTCCCGTTACTTGTCCCAGCTTCTGCCAACCTAGCAGTTTGAAAGCATGTAAAAATGCAAGTAGAAAAATAGATAACAGATAACAGATAATCAGAGTTGGAAGGACTTTGTAGGTCATGTAGTCCAACCCTCCGACCAAGCAGGAGACCCTACACCATTTATGACAGATGGGAGTCCAATCTCTTCTTGAAAGTCTCAAGTGATGGCGCTCCCACAACTTCCGAGGGCAAGCTGTTCCATTGGTTGATTGTTCTCACTGTCAGAAAGTTTCTCCTTATTTCCAGGTTAAATCTCTCCTTGTTCAGTTTCCATCCATTATTCTTTGTCTGGCCTACAGGTGCTTTAGAAAATAGCCTGACCCCTTCCTCTATGTGGTAGCCCCTCAAATATTGGAAGACTGCTATCATGTCTCCCCTGGTCCTTCCTAAACTAGCCATGCACAGTACCTGTAACCATTCTTCATATGTTTTAGCCTCCAGTCCCCTAATCACCCTGGTTGCTCTTCTCTGCACTTTTTCTAGAGTCTCAACATCTTTTTTATAATGTGGTGACCAAAATTGGATGCAATACTCTAGGTGTGGTCTTACTAAGGCTTTATAGAGTGGTATTAGTACCTCACTTGATCCCAATTGTATCCCTCTGTTAATGCAATTTAGGATTGCATTAGCTTTTTTGGCTGGTGCTGCACACTGCTGGCTCATATTTAGTGGTCGTCCACTAAGACTCCAATATCCCTGTCACAGTTACTGCTATTGAGCCTGGTTTCATCCATTCTATATGTGTACTTTTGGTTTTTCTTGCCTAAATGTAGGACTTTACTTTTCTCTATATTGAATTTCATTTTGTTAGATACGGCCCAGTGTTCAAGTCTGTCAAGATCCATCTGGATCAGTGGTGGAATTCGATTTTTTTTTACTACCCATTCTGTGGGCATGGCTTGGTGGGCGTGGCAGGGAAAGGATACTGTAAAATCTCCAGTCAGAGGTGGTATTTGCCGGTTATCCGAACTACTCAAAATTTCCGCTACCGGTTCTCCAGAACTGGTCAAAACCTGCTGAATACCACCTCTGATCTGAATCTTGAGCCTATATTCTTGAGTGTTGGCTATTCCTGCCAGCTTAGTATCATCTGCAAATTTGGTAAGTTCCCCTTCTATTCCCTCATCTAAGTCATTAATAAAGATATTGAAGAGTACTGGGCTTAAGACAGAACCTTGTGGCACCCCACTGCTTACTTCCCTCCATGTAGAGTTAGACCCATTAAGGATTACTCATTAAATTTGAAATGACAATAATTATAAGAGTTAAAGGTGCCACACTCTATTTGGCAATTATAGGGGGAATCTTGCTTTTTAATGCCTGGAAGGGGAGGGAATTATCTTTTTCCCTCTCTCTTTCGGGATGATGATGGAAAAGAATATATGAAATTGTAAACAGGACAGACAAAAATACAAGAATAATGAATAGAAAGATATAGAAATTTAGGAAAAGAAATGTAATTGAATTAGAAAGAAATGAGATAATTATAAAAGAAGGTTAAAGAAAGTAAGGGAAGAGAAAAATTATTGAGAAATTTATAAAATGGTGATAAGATATGAAACAATATATAAGATGAATATGTAATTGAGATTATGTCTGTTTGGAGATGTGATAACCTGGAATCATGCTGTTCTCAAAAAAAAAGATGTTTTATTTGTTATTATGTTTTGTAAAAACCCAATAAAACTTTTACAAAAAAAAAAAGGACTACTCATTGAGTATGGTTTGTCAGCCAGTTGTGAGTCCACCTAGTGGTGGGGCTATCTATTCCACTTTTTCCTAGCTTACCAAGAAGTAGGTTGTGATCTACTTTGTCGAATGCCTTGCTGAAATCTAAATATATTATGTCCACAGTATTTCGCAGGTCTACTAATTTAGTCACTATGTTGAAGAATGAAATAAGATTGGTTTGGCATGATCTGTTCTTAACAAACCCGTGCTGACTGCTAGTTATTATTTTACTTGTTTCTAGAGGTTGGCAGATCTGGTTTTTTAAATTATCTTTTCCAGTATCTTCCCGGGTATTGATGTTAGGCTGATTGGTCTATAGTTTCCTGGGTCTGTTTTTTTCCCTTTTTTGAAGATGGGAACCACATCAGCTCTTTTCCAGTCCTCTGGTAGTACCCTGGTGCTCCAGGATTTTTGAAAGATATGGTGTAGTGGTTCTGCGATTACCTCTGCCATCTCCTTTAAAACTTTGGGATGTAATCCATCATAGGGAACACTTGGCTGGGAAGGTAACAGTGTTCCATGTGCCTTCAGCATTTAGTGATGCCGACCACATGACCACGGAGACAGAGATGAGCACCAACCCCTAGAGCTGGAAATGACTAACACGTATGTGCAAGGGGAATCTTTACCTTTACCTATCAAAACTTAATTGTTACAGCTGCCATCTTATGATTGTCTAAATCAGGGGTGGGCAAACTACGGCCCGCGGGGCCACATCTGGCCCGTTGGTCTGTCCAATGCGGCCCGCCCCTGAAAAAAAATCGCTGCCATTGGTCTGTCCAATCCGGCCCGCCCCTGAAAAAAAATCGCTGGGCGTGGCGTATTGCCCTGTGCCGCGTGGCCCCCAAAGCTGCAAAACAGTGCGGAGCAATCTAGGGGTAGGAAAGAAAAGAAATTTGCAAAGGCCTCAGCTGGGAGTTCGAAATCACCTTCGAGTGCGACCTCTCCGAAGGTGAGCCCCCGCCGATCCCCCTTTTTTTTCTGGGGCTTCCAGGCTTAAACTTTGCAAAGGCAAAGCTTGCAGGCTGGAGCGTCTTCCCACCGAGGAGCGGGAAGGGTTCCACCCGGCGGGCGGGGTGGGCTGCTTGGAGCCACCTAAAGCTAGGCCGCTGCTGGTGGAGCCTTGCCCTGCCTTGGTGCCCCGTTTCCCGGCTTGGCGGTCCTGCTCGGGCGGCACTTTAAAAGCCTGCTCCCAGCACCCGAGCAACTTCCCAGCAACTTTCCGCTTCGTTTTAACTCGCGGGTGCTCGCGCCTGGCCCCGAGCTGCGCGGCGGAGGGGAAGCCCGGTGGGCGGGCGGGCAGGCAGGCTGCTTGGAGGAGGTGACCCGGCGGCGCTCCGGGCTTCCCCTCCGCCGTGCGGCTCGGGGTGAGGCGCGAGTGCCCGCAAGTTAAAACGAAGCCGAAAGTTGCTGGGAAGTTGCTCGGTTTTCCGGGGCTTCCAGGGCTTTGCAAAGGCAAAGTTTGCAGGCTGGAGCATCTTCCCGCCGAGGAGCGGGAAGGGTTCTGCCTGGCGGGCGGGGCGGGCTGCTTGGAGTGGGCTGCTGTGCGGCTCGGGGCGAGGCGCGAGCGCCTGCGAGTTAAAAGGAAGCCGAAAGTTGCTGGGAAGTTGCTCGGATTTCCGGGGCTTCCAGGCTTAAACTTTGCTCGGGCAGCACTTTAAAAGCCTGCTCCCAGCACCCGAGCAACTTCCGAGCAACTTTCGGCTTCCTTTTAACTCGCAGGCGTTCGCGCCTGGCCCCGAGCCACGCGGCAGAGGGGAAGCCCGGCGGGTGGGCGGGCTGCTTGGAGGAGGCGACCCGGCGGTGCTCCAGCAGCAGCAACAGGCAGTTTCGCCCGGGCTCCACTCAGGTGTCCGGCTGGGGCTGTCAGGAGTTGCTACCGCCAGCGCAGCTCCATGCGGCTCTAGTCCCGCATTGCCTTGGGAAGGAAAAGGCAAAACCAGGAGCCGCTGATCCTGAGCCTCCGGTGCCACTGCTCCCGTTGCAAAGCACCGCCACGGCTCTTCCTTTTTGCCTTTCCCTTCCCGAGGCAACGCGGGACTGGAGCCGTGCGGAGCCGCGCCGGCGGTAGCAACTCCTGACTCAGGGGGACTCCGAGGGGAGGGGGAGGAGGAGAAGAGGGGGGGGAAGGGTGGGCGATTCCCAAAAAATCTTGTGCTGACCCGGCCCGTCTGTCAAATTTTAAAAGTCAATGTGGCCCCCGAACCAAAAAGTTTGCCCACCCCTGGTCTAAATTGTTGCAGCCCAGCTCTGTTTATGACTTCAGCCCCCTCCTTTCTTGCCAATGTTTCTTGAATGTTCCTGTCTTGTATTTCCACCATCGCAACAATTATCTTGTGAAGTGGGTTGGGCAGAGAGAGCTCAATACATTTTTATTGAGTAAATTTTACCCATTCTTCCTAATAAAGAAATATCTCTAGCTCAATTTAAGGAAGTCAGTTTTTCTGTGTTTTTTTAGTGTTACAAAAGAGAGTAATACAAGAATGATGTAGATGGCTTCCTGGATAGGATTGACAGTAGTGCGGAGGGGAGATTTTCACCTATTGTGGAATTGTTTAAAATATTACATAAACTGTTTAACATATTACATAAATTCACAAAACCACAGACAATACCACAGAATGAGTCACTAAAGAACTAGCGGCAAAACCTACAGGTCCTCTATAAATACAGTATGTGATCCTTGGAGCCAAGCATCACAGATCTAAAGTCTTCTCCTGTAGCACTAAGTTTGCAATTAGGGTCATCATGAAGAACATCTTGATCTGTGCCACAGTTTTTCTGCCTTCTTTATTTGCTATCCCAATAGATCCCGGTTCTGCAGATGGACCAAGTGCTGAAAACACAAAACTTCTACAAGTAAGTTCCATCAAAACTTCACATCATCTATAGCTTGATAGATTCTGCTGCTATCCTGAATTTTATTATTTTTAAATTAATTATTTACTTAGGTAATATAAATCTGTGTTGTGCATTCATAGTGTGTTATTTCTGCATCCATAACATTGCCCTTTTCCCCCCCATTGTGCTATTCAAGTTGATATGTGTTGGTTTCTATGGTGGTATTCTATCCGTGTGCTGACTTATCCCATGCTTTCTAATGAAGTATTTCCATCCTGATCTGACTCTTGTTGTAATTGTTTAACTTCTTTCCTTTATTGTTTAGGAAATACATAATACCATATGTATGCAAAGATTATGATAGACATTTCAGCTTAACATAAGCATTTTCAAAAAAAAACACCACACACACACACACACACACACACACACACAGAGAGAGAGAGAGAGAGAGAGAGAGAGAGAATTATTTTTATGATGTCACAAGTTTTATGGTATCAAAAGCAAAATCAATCAAGTGATTTAAGAAACTGGCAACTTTAGCAGAAATAAGAAACAATCTTCTTTTGTTTAGTTATCATGATAATTGGCCACATAACCAGAACTTTAAACCTGGAAGAAATCTCAAAGATTGAGTGGTCTACCCACCAGTTGCTGAAATAATTTTACAGCAGGCTGCCATAATTTTTTATTTATTTATTTTTCAAATGTATATGGTCACTCAGCTCACATGATGTGTCTAGTTTACAGCTCTATTAATTACCCAGCTGGCATCCTTATTGGATAACTGTAATGTCTCTTCCCTGAGGATCTCATTTAAAGTTTGGCTGTTGCTTTAGGGAGTAGCCATTGGAGTAAATGAAAACTGACTGGCAGTGTTTGCTGGGAAAGGATGAAAATGGTAGGAAATCACCAATTACTGTACAATATAATGCACAGAGTAAATAAATATAGCACCATTTATTAGTATCAAGTCTATAGCAGGATAGAGAGACATAAATACATGCCAGTTGCCAAGTGTCTGATTTTTTATCACATGACCTCACCATGCTGCAATGGTTGTAAGTATGAAAAAGTGTCATAAGTCACTTTTTTCAGTCCCGTTTTAATGTTGAACAATCACTAAACTAATTGTTGTAAGTCAAAGCTATCTGTACACCATATAGATTAAACATAAAAATGAAATATGTTTACACCATAGGTATAATATTTAAATCTTTTGAAGTCTAAGGGTTACTGCACATTTTAATGTCATACTTTCTTCGGAAACTTCAAGACAATTAAGACTGTTAGTTTCAGGTGGAAGACAAACATCATGTCCTTAATCCTATTACTTCTGAGTAAGATTGTGTGTAATATTTTTTTGGTTGCCAATCCATTTTTAGAAGTGTAATGAAGAAAGTCATTTTAATGAAGAAAGTCTGATTATTTCTAGAGGTGGGTGCAAATGATAATGACCTTTTATCCACAAAGAAAATAGACATATCCATTTTCTTCTTGGATAAAAGATTTTCCTTTGCTGATTACTTCTTCCATGGCCTAGTTAAAATTAAAAAAAAAAATGAACATTAAAAAAAGAAAGAAAGAAAAATAGCATGGTACAAAAGATGAATGAAACATTTATGACTTTCATTTCTCATAATCTAGGTTTATCTGGACAAATTCTTCCCAACCTATTTTAAAGATGGCCGCAGCCTGCAAGAACGTCTCAGAGAAATGCAGGAATACTTCCATTTGGCTGTCACCGGGAAAATGGATAAAGGTACATTAAATGTAATGAAACAGCCACGGTGTGGAGTCTCAGATGTTTCCGAAGGACACAAAGCTACAAGAATCTGGAATAAACAAGTGCTCACATACAGGTTAATTACCATTTAAAGATTTTTTTTTAATAAAAAGAACATTGGTTACATGATTTCTTGCATAGTAATATTTTGTCATTCTTCGTTACTTAAAGGATTAATAATTACACTCCGGATTTGCCAAGAAGTACGGTAGATAGAACCATAGCAAGGGCATTCCGTGTTTGGAGTGATGTGACTCCACTGAGGTTCCAGAAAGTTTCCGGACGTGCTGATATTGAAATATTTTTTGCACATGGTGGTAAGTCTGCCTGTTTTTATCAACTAGCTCTCAAATATGCATTTTTCACACGATCCTATCCCTTTCTGAAGCATCATTTAAATTCTCCCTGCTTTCACTGATCACATTCAAAGAGTCAAGGTGGACTAGAGTATAATCCAGAGGGTATTTTCCTCCCTAGAAGGGCTGATGTTTAAATTGAAATTGTTCATGGGAAATAGTAGTTCTACTTTAATCTGTATTGGCCAGACCCCATCTCAAATGGTCATCCAGTTGTAGACTCCATTTTTAAAAAACTTCAGATAACTGAAGAGCCCTGGTGGTGCAGTGGTGAGAATGCAGTATTGCAGGCAAACTCTGCCCACTGCCTGGAGTTCGATCCTGACAGGGCTCAAGGTTAACTCAGCCTTCCATCCTTCCAAGATCAGTAAAATGAGGACACAGATTGTTAGGAGCAATATGCAAATAATGCTTACATTATAAACATCCCAGAGGGTGCTGTAAAGCACAATGGGGTGGTATATAAGACTAAAGGCCTTTGCTTTTGCTAACTGGACTAGGTTCACAGAAAGATTGCCGAGATTATGTTAAAAAAATTTACAAAAATATCCTATAAGGAGATATTGATGGAACTGGATATATCTAATCTTGAGAAGAAAGAGCACATCTTTCAAAAACCTGAAAGGGTATCACACTAAGTTGAAGGAAGGCAGATTTTGAAAAAGATCCCTCTTTTCACTGCATGTGTTAAAGCAAAGATTATGTAGTCATTCAACTAGATTGTTTCATTGACTGAAGAATCTTTCCAGTTCTATGCTGGCTTCCTCTTTCACTGCTTCTTCAGATCCTTTCAGAGATTTATTAGCCCAGGCTTAAAAATTATTGCTGTTTTGACATCACTGCAGTGATCTCTTATTCTATGAAATGATTGGTGGCTGTGAGATTCAGACTGCTTGCTCCTCTCTGTTTGGATCAAATCACTGGCTATAGTTCTGATATCCAAGAGCTATCATAGTTGGGTTTAAAAATTCAGATGACCACTAGATAGAAGCAGAGAGTAACCATTTATGTAAGTCTTTGCTGCCATCTGCTTGGATTCTTGCATCTGAATATGATGTTCCTAAGAATTACTGATAAGAATGAGAATGTTCCTAAGAACTTTTGATTTCTTTCCTCCTTAAATAATAATCATAGGAGAAAATCTTTAACCAAGGAATAGCTCGTAGTTAATATAAATTAGAGATATTGTTCTGTTTCAAAAGTATACAGTATTCATTAACAAATAAGTAGCTTGGGGCAGATTCCCAAACAATTAGCTTGGCTAACATTCCAATCTTCCTATCTCTCCTTTCCGAACCATCATTCACACCCTGGGAGACGCTTTGGAGACATGATTGAAGTTCAGAAGGTCTTGTACTTAACCCAGAGGTTATCACTACATCACTGTCACCCATATTTGTATTACGTGATTATATGTATAGTGAAAATCTCAAAAAGGGGATAGATCTACTTAAGGGTGTTGAAAATGCAGCATAATGCTCCTAACCTACCTATACATTGATGGCTTTTATGTTATATTTCAAATTTAGCACATGGTGATGGTATCTCTTTTGATGGTCGAGGAAAGGTTTTGGCTCATGCTTACTTTCCTGGACCAGGAATTGGGGGAGATACACATTTTGATGAAGCAGAGAAATGGTCAGAGTATAACAGAGGTAAGTCACTCATTAACTATTTGAGGTTATTGCTGATCTATTTTAGAATGAAAATTACTGCCAAGACCATTAACGTCATAAACAAACCTAGCAACCAAGTGATACCTGAAGACCTCTGAAATATTTGCTCCTGAATTGTAATGTTTCTACAACTGGGAATATAAATTTTATTTTATATTATACTTAGATTAAATACAGATTAATTTTATTTTTGTCCTGGCCCCTGTCATGAGAGTCAAATGGAGTTCTAGCCATGAAAAAAACGCTACCTGACTCTGTGGTTTCTTTCCCAAACCCCAAAAACTTTACCTTAGACTGTCTACTATTGACCTCACCCCTTTCCTAAGAGGTCTGTAGGGGGCGTGCATAAGTGCACCAACATGCCTACCATCCCTGCCCTATTGTTTCTTTTTTATTTTTCTTATATGTATCCATTTCTTGTATTCATAACTATGTTTATACTTATACCTGTTATCTTATAATCACTTGACAAAAATAAAAATAATAATTAAAAGGCAGTAAGTATAGTCTTGGGATATAGGAGGCCATATATTGATTTCTGCTAATTGTCACATTTTTCTTCTCTTTTGTTTTAGAGGTCAACCTGTTCCTTGTTGCTGCACATGAATTTGGTCATGCTTTAGGACTTTCACATTCTAATGTTTTTGGCTCTTTGATGTTTCCAACATATACTTACAGTAACCCACGGTTCTTCCGTCTCCCAAATAATGACAGACAAAGAATTCAGAGACTTTATGGTAAGTACAACCAATTAAATATGAGCCAATAGTGTGCAGCAGTAGCCAAAAAAGCCAGTGCAATCCAAAATTGCATTAACAGAGGGATACAATCAAGATCAAGTGAAGTACTAATACCACTCTATAAAGCTTTAGTAACACTACACCTACAAAACTGCATCCAATTTTGGTCACCACATTATAAAAAGGTTGTTGAGACTCTAGAAAGAGTGCAGAGAAGAGCAACCAAGATGATTAGGAGACTGGTGGCTAAGACATACAATGAACAATTGCAAGAATAGGACATGACTAGTCTAGTGAAGAAAAGGACCAAAGGAGACATGATAGCAGTGTTCCAATATTGGAGGGGCTGCCACAGAGAAGAGGGGGTCAAGTTATTTTCCAAAGCACCTGAAGGCCAGACAAGGAATTATAGTTGGAAACTGAAAAAGAAGAGATTCAGCCTGGAAATAAGAAATTTTCTGACAGTGACAGCAATCAACCAATGGAACAGCTTGCCTTTGGAAGTTGTGGGAGCTTCATCACTGGAGGCTTTCAAGAAGAGACTGGACTGCCATCTGTCAGAAATACTGTAGGGTCTCCTGCTTGGATGGGGTGAGGGGTTGGACTAGATGACCTACAAGGTTCCTTCTAACTCTATTAATATGTTAGCCAAGTACGGTATGAAGTTTCTAATTCTTATGGTGAAGTGCATTTTAATCACTCCCCAACCTTTGGTTGTACTCACTTTGTAATGGGTCTGTTGTTAGCTAGAGGGGACTATTGACTGGTACCCAACAAAAAAAATATTATAGACTGCTTTTTCTCTTGGAGCTCAAGGTGTCTTACAAGGAGAAGTTTCCCCTAATTTTATTTGAACTCCAAAATACTCTTGAAATTTATAATTAGGACTAAGAGAAAATAAGCAGATTGAAACTATCTACTGAAATCTATGGATGAAGGGGGACTTTATTTTATTTATTTGATTTGTCAATTGCTTACAAGATAATAGATATAAGTATAAACATGAGTAAGAATACAGGAAATAGGTACGAATAAATGGGGACAATAGGACAGGGACGGCAGGCATGATGGTGCACTTAAACACGCCTCTTAGGAATGGGGTGAGATCAATAGTGGTTAGTTTGAGGTTAAAGGAGTGGGGGTTAGAGGATGTAACAACAGAGTCAGGTAGTGCATTCCAGGCATGACCACTCTGTTGCTGAAGTCGTACTTTCTGCAATCAAGTTTGAAGCGGTTTACACTGAGTTTATATCTGTTGTGTGCTCTTGTATTGTTGTGTAGTAGTCATTGACTGGTAGGACATTGTAGCAGATAATTCTGTGTGCTACACTTAAGTCTAACCGTAGGCAGCGTAGTTCAAAGTTATCCAAGTCCAAAATCTCAAGCCTGGTGATATCAGGCATTCTGTTGCGAGCAGAGGAGTGTAGTACTCTTCTCGTGAAATACTTCTGGACTTGCTCGATTGTATTAATGTCTGATATGCAGTGCGGATTTCAGACTGATGAGCTGTATTCAAGTATTGGTCTGGCACTTACTGACTTAGTACTTACTTACTTACTTACTTACTTACTTACTTACTTACTTACTTACTTAGACTTCTCCAGTCAAAGTCCAACAGTTTAGCCACTCCTTACTCTGGACATATATTGGTTGGCTTTTTTCACTGAATTTAGTTTTCACCATACCATAACGGAGGAAAAGCACTAAGAAACAAAAGAGAGTTATAAACATCAATTGTCCCTGCTCGTTGCCTTACAATTGAAAAAGAACATCCCATAAGGGATAAGAAATGAGCAAAACAGAGTAGCAAACAACCACCTGGCAAACCATTTTTATGTTGCGAGTTCCAGTTCAGATACTGTGATGAGATGACCATTGTCAATTAAGTGATATTTGAGGTGGGGGGGGGGAATCATAGGAAGTGGTCTCACAACAGAGGCCTCTCATTTCTCCTGTTGCTATCAGTCTTTGAGGTAGCATCTGGAAGTATCAGGAAGCTGCTGTTTGCCTAAGTAAAAGAATAACAGATTTGAAAGTAACCTTTGAGGTCTTCTAGCCTAACACCTTGCTCAAGGAGGATACCCTATATACCATTTCAGACAAAGAGTTGTCCAATCTCTTCTTTAAAAAACTCCAGTGTTAGAGCACCCATACCTTCTGGAGGCATGGGATTCCACTGGTTAATTGTTCTCACCATTAGGAATATTCTGGGCTGGTTCTCTGCTTGGTTAGTTTTCATCTAATGCTTCTTACTAAGCCTTTATAAAGCGGCACTAATACTTCACATGATCTTGATTCTATCCCTCTATTAATTCAGTCTAGGATTGTGCTGCCTTTTTCGGCTGCTGCCACCCAATGCTGGATCATATTTAACTGATTGTCCACTAGACTCCAAGATCTCTCTTGCAGTTACTGCTATTGAGCCAAGTTTCACATAATCTGTACCTTTTTGTTTTTTGTTTTCCTTACCTAAGTGTAAAACCTTGCTTTTCTGTACATTGAATTTCATTTTGTTAGATAGGGCCCAGTGTTCAAGTCTGTCATTTAAAATGGCTCCTGGCATTTTTAAACCCTAATGGACATGGGCTTTCCAATTTTATTCATTTAAAAGATTTGTCTGGACACCCATCTTAAACTCTGGGTAGCTCACAACAACAACAAAACCTAATAGCTATAAAATCATAAACCAAAAGCTTAGTGGCTCCACCATCATAGTAGGATGTTGCACAGCCAGCTCCAAATATCCTCATTCCATCTATTATATCCCAAAGATTCAGGGAGGAGCCATGTTTTTTCTTGTTTCCCATATTTAAAGAATGCTTCAGCCCCTTTTGTTTATATAGCAGTCCTTGCCTGTTTCTTCAAAATCACCTCCCTGATTCTCCACAGTAAGGTTGGCACCAGGTTTTCTAGACAATACCCCACCATAGATTTATGGATTCGTGATTCTGTCCTAACCAGCCTATTGTAGTGGAACAAAGCAGTTAACTCTTCTTTTTATTGAGCAAATCTGCTCTGGAAAAAACAACCTATTTTAATCCTATTTGTATATTTATTTATTTCCACTCCCTTTAACAATATCCTTCTTTTTCTTTCTTAGGAACAAGGAAGTGAAACAGCTGCAGAAACCATTATATTTAAATGGCATGGAAGAATTTATATTTTTCACAGATCAAAAGCATTATTTCAACTCAGTTCATAACATAGTAAAAGGAGCAAAAGTTTGGTTGCCTGCTTGATAATGGGGAAAGACTAGTGGATTGTGCTTTGTTATGGAAGCTTCGTTGATTGTTGATCAGCTTCCTGGTCCAATTCAAGATGCAGATTACCAATTGCAAGGTGTGCATGTTCTGTAGATACCTTCACTTGGAAACAGTGTGTCATCCATCATCAAACCAACACCAATCTTGTTGGCATTCAGGGAAACCACCAAGATCTGACTGTACCAGAAAGCCTTTGGGGGTTAATATATATCAGATTCCATCTCTCCGTTATTAGTTTGGGGGGTCTGGTTATTTTCTTTTCCTTGTAATTATTCCTTGCTATTTTTTTTTTGTAAGCAACTGGAGATCAATCAAACAATTAATCAAGATGGAAGGGACCTTGGAGGTCTTCTAGTAACCCCCTGCTCAAACAGAAGATCCTATACCATTTCAGTTTTGGGAAATGTTCTTGTACCTATACATAGCTAATAAATAATCCAACCCTTTCATGTGGTCCTATGAAACGTTTGTATTATCTTGTGTGTAATGAAAGTCTATGACAGTCTGATGAGTACACAGATGGGTGTTGCCTTAGCATGCGTGTGTGTGAATTTGTGTGTGAATCATTTTTTGCCTTATCCTCCAGTTGGGTCTGTACCTGTACTGGGAAGTTCAGGGTGCATTTAATCCAGGACATGAGTTTTCTGGCATGTTCACGGGAGTGGGGGATGAATTCAGCAAAGCAATTGTCAGTTTCTCCAAGCTGGTTGACTTTCAACTACCCTCCAATTCAGGGGGCTAGACTAGATGACTCCAAACTTACCGGTACTTTCCTTGATTCCATGAAACTAAGAATACCACTCAGAAAAGGGATAAGAAGAAAGAAGGAAGAGCTGGTGGGGTTTCTCTAATCCCATCCAAATTGGAGAGCAAGATGATCTCTATTTTGCACTGAGCATGTGTCAAAACCTTAAAACGTGTGCAAGCAGATAATCTATATACTACTAAAATGTCATTGCTATGAGCTTTGACTGGGCCAAAAGGTGTATCATACGGTAGCAATTTTTGAACCAAGGGACCTGGTATGGGCTAACTTACAGAATTAGTCCAAAATTTAGTACCCAGGACTGCCGAGGGACTGAAATTTGGAAAGCTGTGACTGCTTCAGCACTACCAGCTTCTACTGCACTGCCAGGTTATTGCTGCAGTCAACATAATTTTCATTTTCAACATTTCATAATAGCTATAGCACTTAGACTTATATACCGCTTCACAGCGCTTTTACAGCCCTCCCTAAGTGGTTTTCAAGAATCAGCATATTGCTCCCAACAATCTGGGTCCTCATTTTACCCACCTCAGAAGGATGGAAGGCCAAGTCCACCTTGAGCCTGGTAAGATTTGAACTGCCAAATTGCAGGCAGCTGGCTGTCAGCAGAAGTAGCTTGCAGTACTGCACTCTAACCTCTGCACCACCATGGCTCATAATAGTTTCCCAACCAGTCTTGCAATCCCTCACTCCCTTCCCCATCCATAGCAGACAGTTTCTTGCCTGCTAGAATGGGATGGGATGGGAAGGGAAGGGAAGGGAAGGAAGGGAAGGGAAGGGATGGGATGGGTTGGGTTGGGGAGAGAAGGGAAGGGAAGGGAAAGGGATTTTTGATTCTTGCCAGACTCCCACAAAGCAATTCAATAGGGAAGCTGTCAGGAAAAATCCTGTTCCCACTGCATTTTTGCCCTCCCTTGGTCATTCTGTTTTTCTGCTTAGATAAGGAAATCTCTCTGAAATGATGACTCAGTGGAGCATGAGTTGTCTAGTAAGTAATAATTTTAGCTAGACTGATTGTACTAATTTTATTTGTAACAGCATCAGTATATGATGGTTCTCTTGTTTTTCCAATACTTTCTTTACTTTTTAATGGGGAAATTAGCAAAGCACTGCTGTGCCTGGGACACACCTTAAAAAGAGAGAGAAAGTATTAGTTTTGCAAGATCACCCAAACTCAAAGAGAGTCACTCATAGATGCTTACTGCTAACTGCAGTCACATGAACATTGTCAGGCATGCATTATGAACAAACATTGCCAATGCTATATGCCAGTATTTCTCAGCAATGTTAAGATGCGTAAACTTCAATTCCCAGAATTCTGCAGCCAGCATGGCTAATTGAGGTATTCTGGGAGTTGAAGTCCACCCATCTTCAAGTAGGTGAGGTTGAGAAACACTGCATAGTATATGCAATTGCATGCCACTATGAAAGGCACGTAGAAAAATCATAGGATTAATGACTAGGCACATTTTGTTATTTGTCTTCCTTTTTCATCTCACAATGATCTCAATGTTTGTCTCACAAATTTCAGGAGTAAAATGTTCAGGATCTTGTGACACTTGTGAAGTTTGGCCATGTATCCATGTAACATATTGGTGTATTTGATAATCCTGCTGTTTGAGAAACCAGGTGTATTTTGATTTAGCATGACATGTGAACCAGGATGCATCTGTTTAAAATACACTCCAGGTTTAGCTGAAGGATCCTCCAACTCAGTTTATTTTTATTTTTATTAAACCAATTTCCTGGTTGCTTTAACGGGTTGGTTTGGATGTGATTAGCATAATCTTAACATGAAAGAAGAAAGAAATCCATAAAGGTCAAAAAATAATTTGAAATTAATGGAAGCAAAGCACAGAAATAATACAAATATTGCTTTCAAACAAGAAGTGTAGTAACATTATGGGGATTTGCTCAAAAGATGGTTAATGTCTTCTCCTAATTATTATTTCTAGACCAAAAAAATAGCCCCCTGCTTGTCATATTATGGACCTTTATTTTACATTTATATCTGTCTCCATGAATGCATTACTGCAAAAGATGGTTTATACATGACAAGTTATCAATTATGCTTTCATCTCCTAACATATGCACCAGGTCCAACAGAGCTAACATCAAGATAAAGTAATGCAAACTTGGAAGAATTAATATTTCCTAAGTGAGAATCAAAAGGTGCTAGACCAGTTTTGGGGAATTGTTTTTCAGGGTAGAAAAGGACTCTGTGGAGAGTCAAAAGAATCAAGATATCTGGCCTCAAAGTCGCAACACTTTTTAATAGCATTGCATGTATCGTATAGCAATAGCACTTAGAATTATATACCGCTTTATAGTGCTTTTACAGCCTCCTCTAAGTGATTTACAGAGTCAGCCTATTGCCCCAAACAATCTGGGTCCTCATTTTACCCACCTCGGAAGGATGGGAGGCTGAGTCAACCTTGAGCCTGGTGGGATTCGAACTGCTGGCAGTCAGCAGAGTTAGCCTCAATACTGCATTCTAACCAAAGGTGGGCTTCAAAAATTTTAGCAACGGGTTCTCTGCCCGGTTGCTGGGTGGGTGTGGCCATGGTGGGCATAGCCTAGTCGGCCTCCTGCCCCATGGCAGGGGGGTCGTTTTTGCTTTCCCTGGGCTCCAGAGGTTTTCCTCGAGCTCTGGGAGTGCGAAAACAGCCTCCCTGGGCTCCAGAGGCTCTCTGGAAGCCAGAAGCGCGCCTGTTTCCAGCCTTCCTGAACTTCCGGGAGGCCCATTTTCACCCTCCCCAAGCTTCCATGCGGGTCCTGCACTTACCTGCATCCAAAATGGGCCAGGTGGAGAGTCCTGGGAGGGGAGGGGCAGGGTGGGCGGGGCCAGCCAAGAGTGGGATTTGGGGGTTCTCCAAACTGTGCAGAATCTTAGCTAGGGGCTCTCCTGAACCCCTGAAAATCTACCTAGCCGTTTCTCTTGTAATATCACACTACTAACTAGAGCATACAAAACATTTGCTAGACCAATACTTGAATACAGCTCATCAGTCTGGAACCCACATTATGTACCTGATATTAACACAGTTGAGAAAGTCCAGAAATATTTCACAAGAAGAGTTCTCCACTCCTCTACTCGTTGCAGAATACCTTATGCCACCAGACTTGAAATTCTAGACCTAGAAAACCTAGAACTATGCCACCTTCGGTCTGATCTAAGTATAGTATATAAAATCATACATTGCAATGTCCTACCAGTCAATGAATACTTCAGCTTCAACCATAACAATACAAGAGCAAACAATAGATACAAACTCAAGGTTAATCGCACCAAACTTGATTGCAGGAAATACGACTTCAGCAACAGAGTGGTCAATGTCTGGAATATCTATCTGACTCTGTGGTTTCTTCCCCAAACCCCAAAAACTTTAACCTTAGACTGTCTACTATTGACCTCACCCCTTTCCTAAGAGATCTGTAGGGGGCATGCATAAGCTCACCAACGTGCCTACCGTCCCTGTCCTATTGTTTCTTTTATTTTTCTTATATGTATCCATGTATTCATAACTATGTTTTTACTTATACCTATTATCTTGTAAGCAACTGACAAACCAAATAAAATAAAAATAAATAGCATGGTACAATTGATTTACTGAAAATTTATTCACTTTTGTGTGCCAGTCCCACACAATGCAGGAAGGTTATCTTCTAATCATCTCCAAGTTAGCTGGAGATGTCACTGCCTTTTTCTTTTAATCTTTTCCTTTTTAGGAAGATGAAAAATATATACACTATTGGATTAAATGGGGGGAATTTTCCCTTTTCTTATTTCTTTCCCATAATGCAGTTTTGCATTATGCTGCTTTTCATCTCTGAAACATGATTTCATGTTCAGGAGTAAGTAGAATCGACTAACTCTGAAGTATTTCATATGTCATGGAAGCTGACCAGGATAAGATGGGGCATGTCAATATATCCAAAGCACTCTGCACTAGGTAATTGTGTCTTCTTTTGTGTGCGTGAGTTGGTGCACCTTCCACACCCAATGACTCAGTTCTACTTTAATGATGTAAGCAAGCCACTCAGGATTGAAGTAAACTTCTCGCAATTCATGAACAATCAGGAACTGGGTTCTTTTATGCTCTTCTTACGTCGATATCAGGCAGACATATCAATTTCTATTTCCTTCTTTTTTGTTGTCTGAGTCAATTGCTTCCATGCTGGAGCTTATTTAACACCAGAAGGGTTAAAAAAAAAAAAAGAAAGTCAAGTTAGTGGCCTTATCAATGATAGAAGCCTTATCATTTTCTCATGCATATGAAAGAGCCATGATGGTAAAATGGTTAGAATCAGGGGTGGGCTTCTGGGGATTTTATTTTATTTTATTTATCAATTGCTTACAAGATAATAGGTATAAGTAAAAACATAGTTATGAATACATGGATACATATAAGAAAAATAAAAGAAACAATAGGACAGGGACGGTAGGCATGTTGGTGCGCTTAGGCACGCCCCCTACAGACCTCTTAGGAAAGGGGTGAGGTCAATAGTAGACAGTCTAAGGTTTTTGGGGTTTGGGGAAGAAACCAGAGAGTCAGGTAGAGTATTCCAGACATTGATCACTCTGTTGCTGAAGTCGTATTTCCTGCAATCAAGTTTGGTGCGATTAACCTTGAGTTTGTATCTATTGTGTGCTCTTGTGTTGTTATGGTTGAAGCTG